AAAGCCGGGCACGGGGTCTTCCCCCCTGCCACGAAAGATTTTGCATGAAGCGCTGCCTGTCTAGGGAAGCATCCATCTGTCTCTGCAGGTTTTGACCTGACCAAGCAGACTACTTCCGAGCTTCCCTGCTGAGTATCTCGCACAGCTCTTGGACACACATGCTCATTCTTCTCAAGGGCTTTGCAGTTCCTCGCTGGCAGAGCTGTGGATGTGGCTGGCTCTGCAGTGGGATGCTTTCCAGCCCCCCAAGCCGGGGAACGCCTGCGGATCCCCTGCGGTTCCTGCTGGCAGCCTCCTGCCCCCTCCTCCAGCCTGCCCTCCACGCCTGCCCCCACAGGACTGTATTTGGGCTAAATATTCCACCCATAGCCCCAACCTGACAGTTGGAATGTCTATCCCGATATCATGTAAACATTTCTTCTGATTAAAAGATCCAGATTGCCGGCGACCAAGCCGTGACTCAGCCCCATGTGATTTCCCAGGAATTCGCCCAGGATGGGTGGCAGGAGCTGCCAGCTCCAGCCCCGCGCGCCCGGCGGGGAGGCACCTGCTGACTCATCCTCACCTTCTTCTTCCCCAGCCAGATAACGCTGCAGCACGGGCTCCCAAACACCACCCGCTATCGCGTTGCAGTGAAAGCTCTTGTCTGACAAGGGCCACGCTTATTTTCCTAGAGCCTGGAAGCTGCTGCGTGCACCCAGGCAGGAGCATGGCCCCGACTGCCTGTGGGTCACGGCAGCCGATGGGGTGTTTTCCGTGCTAGGCTGGAAGATAATCCCGGCACTGCGTTGCACCGGCTCCTGGATTTCACATCTCTGTGCCCTGGGCAGTTGGGAGCTGGATGAAAATGCCCCCTAGAAGGATGCGGAAATTGGGTACCAGGTCTGAACCATCCCTATGAGGATTTGCTGCAGCAGCACACTTTATTCTGCCCCCTAAAAGTAACAGCAGCCAAAGTCTGTCCCAGCAGCTCAGCTCTTTTAAAATTGCTCCAAGAAGCAGCAGTTGGGGTAGGGGATGGGCTCTGCTGGCCCTCGCAGTCTTAAGGCTTTTAGGCAGTTGGTTAATGGTTTTGACAGTCTTAATTTGGACTGGGAATGAAAAGTTCAAGCAGTGACTTCAGAGAAACGCCCCTGGGATAAGTCGTGACATGGTTAATAGAAAATTGTAATGTTGTTAAAGTGCTTTTCCATAAAATGCCAGGAGAGGAAATTAATGGTGTGGGGTTTTTTTTTTTTTCCTAAAAGTTGATATTGTTCTTTTAATTTAATTTTTTAATCCATCACATCAGTACTCAGCACTCTTGCCATGCAACTTTCATTTTATAGTGGTTTTCACATTAGCTGTAGATACTGATGTCAGCGTGGGGAGAACACACCTTGGGTTTGCCGTGCAGGTATCTAAACAGCAGGCAGGCTCTCTATGCAAAACCAGGTAAAATCTAACCTAGAGATGTTGGCATGCGCCTTGCTTTAAAGACTAGAATAACCTTTCTGATTCAGCGGTGGCCACTCACGGATGCTCATCTGGGTCCCTTGCTTCCTTGACGGGGCGCCTTGCAGGTGGTTCGAGAGGGTGAGCATGCTGGTGATCCTGCTCAACTGCGTGACACTGGGCATGTTCCACCCCTGCGAGGACATTGCCTGCGACTCACCGCGCTGCAGGATCCTCCAGGTACGGCTCGGACGCTGCTTTTAGCTTAACAGCGGTCCCAAGTTGATGGGGAGCAGGAAAGACTGAGCTGTGGCAGAGCTGGCTCCAGCCGTGGTGGAAGTGCCCTGGGATGGCTGGGTCTTGCCTGCGCTGGCTCTCCTGCCAGCACATAAAAAAATGCTGATTTTGGTGCTCAGATGCCAACGCATGGTATCATCAGGCGAAGCCCCTGCCAGGCTGTGCCAGCCCCAGCATAGCCAAGCCTTGCTTGGAGTGCTTGGGGGGGTTAACTATTGGTTTATAGTGAAAACAGAGCCCAAAATATACTCGTCCCTTTGTCCCAGTGCTGTGGGTGCTGTTGGCTAGACTGAGTTGGGGAAGACCTGGGGCTGCTCCCAGCACTGCCTCTACCCCGGGGTTTTAGCCCTCAGTGGTGCAAGAGGAGACCTTGTTGGACTCAGGTCTCTAATTCCCTCCCACGGTGCGAGTGTGCAGCAACGCAGGAGCATCCCTCCTCCCTTCTTTTCTTTGGCAGAGCTTCGACGATTTCATCTTTGCCTTCTTCGCCGTGGAAATGATCGTCAAGATGATCGCTTTGGGGATTTTTGGGAAGAAATGCTACTTGGGAGACACGTGGAACCGCCTGGACTTCTTCATCGTCATCGCGGGGTAAGCCTGGCGTGGCGGGTCCCCCTCTCCCCGCGCCTCTCTGTTGTCATTCATGGCACCCCCGGATTTAGGGGAGCAGCTGCTTTGCAGCGGTGAAGGCTGGGGACTTGCTGAGCATCGGTGCCGTCAGCCTGGCTCCGCAGTAGGGACCACCAGCCGGACCACAGTGGTCCCTCCAGTCCTCTCCCTAGCTCGCGGGAGAGCTGATGCTCAGCTCATGGAGAGAGCAGGGCAGGGCGACAAAAGCTGTTTGTGGTGGATTTTGGCCAGCCCATGCCTCGGGGCTCCTCGCCGGGCACTGGGCTTTTCTCCCTCCAGCCCCGCCGGTCGTTTCAATTTCCATCAGGAGAGGTGGCGGCAGAGCAAGTGGTTGGGAGCACGGAGCAGCGTGCCAGGGAGGATAGTTCACTGAAATCTGTGTGATTGCCCTCATTATATATATTTCTTTTTTTGAGGGAAAGCAACCAAGTTCGCCTTTTTGAGTGTTTTCCTTTCAGAGGCACCTGGTTTGAGTTAAAGGCTCTTCCAGCATCCGAGAGTCTCCTGGCGGAGGCTGGAAATCCACATGAAAAGTCCCTGGCCCCCAGCCAGCGAGCTGAGTTTCTTTGACACACGAATCGCTCACCGACCCTCGCCTCCCCTCCTCGCTCCAAGAGCCCAAAGACCTTTGGGAAAACAGTGGGTTTTTTCCTCTTTTGATAGACCTAGAGATCAAATTTACTGGATTTTCCTGGAAAGGAGCAGCCCTCCCAGCTGGGCTGTTTCCCCGGTGTAGGTTTGGTGTGCCCCAAGAAGGGGCAACACCTTGGTGGGCTTTGCTTATGGTCCATTGCCAGCCCCATAGGGTCATGGCACACACCTCTGCCAGGCAGCTGGGAGAACCAAAACAGTGGCCCAGTAAAACCAGTAAGGAGGTGCCAGGTCTGCCATCACATCCTTGGCCTGGGAAACTCATTGCCATGGGGTGCTGCAGAGGCCGAAAGATGTAGCAAGGCTCAAGACCCAGACTGGAGGCAGAGATGGAGGGCAGAAAGGCCAAGAGCTGTAACTGTCCCTGTAAACCCATCTTCTGCAGGAGGCCAGCACCTCATGCTTTCCAGCTGCACCAGCCTCTGGCTCCTCAGGTTAGGAGAGTCCTTAAAGTTTCCTCCGGAAGTATCTGAGCAACATTAGGGGCTGCAGCGATGGGATGTTGGACAAGGTGGGACCCCAGGTCCAACCAGCTCTGGTACAGTTGTAAACATCAGCAGCACAGCCAAGGGCTGGAGCCTGCTAAAGCCAACCTGTGTATTCTTTATTTCTTCTTCTTTATTATTTCTAATACTAGAATTAAGTGTCATGAAGAACGAGACCCAAGCAAGGCCAGGCATCCCACCTGGGGAGGCTCAGGGAGGCATGGTGGTGGGTGCTGGGCTGCTTCCACCTCTGCCGCCCCGGGGTGCTGCTGTGTTCCCCTCCCAGCCCAGTGCTGGCCTTGCCTGTTGAGCTTGCAAAGTCTTTGGAGCTAGAGTAGTTACCCTTGATCTGCTTCTATGGAGACCTCTCTGTGATGGGACCTCGGTCTAGAGGGACATCAGCAGAGACCATCCCAATACCTATGCCAAAATATAACTGCACTTTCCTTAAGCAAGCATCCAATCTCCTGCCCACCTACTGCACCTGGGTGGGCATTTGGGTGTGTGAGAGCCACCTCCTTCCCAGGCAAAGTGTGGATAGCGGCACCGACCTCCCCTCTGATGCAGCTGCCTTCCCACATTCCCGATGCACGGAGGTATTTATTTGCTGCAGAGGTTTTGCAGCCTCGGAGCTTGACCGCTCCCGTGACTCCTGCCAGGTTGGCTTTGCCTCTTGCTAAATGATGGGGCTTTCCTTCGTGTGCATGAACTGTTCCCATCTGGGCTGCGTCAAAACCAATTCAGCTGATAAAGGATTGAACCGCCTTTAAATACAAAGCAGAGCCTTTCCTCTCCCAGTGCCTGCTTCCTCTGCTCCCTTTTGCACCCTTGCGCTCTCCTCCAGCCCTTGCCCATCCAGCCAGGAGTGCTGCATCCCGCTCGGAGCATCGCTGCCATCCTGGAGGGTCCCTCAGCCGCCTCCGGCAGCACCAAGTGCTGGGGAAAGTCAAAGGGGCTGCAGGAATGGGCTGCTGCCATTGCAGAGGAAAAACGAAAGGACCAGAGCCTGTTACTAGATTAAAGATATAGGTAAAAAGCACGGTAAGGATAAGAGGAAAAAGCACTCCAGGGTCAAATTCCAACTAGACGGAGGGAAATTCCTCCGGTAGCCCCTGAGTGCAGCTCTGCAGTTCCCACATAGGGCAAATTACCCCAACGAGCATCCAGACCACGGTGCTAACAGCAGAGCATGGGAGCAAGGGATGAGCCGAGCTCGACATGGGGGAACCTTGCGCCTGAGCGGGTGCATGATGTCGGGAAAGAGGCCGGAGCTGAGCTGTGGCCGTGGAGGAGAGTGTGCACTGGGGCGATGCTCAAATCCCTGCTGCGTTTGCTAGATACTCGATAAAGCGCATCACATTTTTATGTAGGTCTAACATAAGGGCTTCAGCCACGTTCCCCAGTGAAATGACAGGGTAAGAGACCTACAAATTGACGTTTCCACATGGCCCTGGTGACCACAACGAAGCAGCTCTGCTTCTGTCTTCCCACTTTTTTCCTCCCCTTTTTGTGTGAGATGTGTCGGGGCGGAGGCAGCAGGACAGCGTGGGCTCCCCAGCACCTGGCAGGTCCCTGGGCTCCTGCTCTCCTGCTTTCCCTGCTGCTTCCCTGCTCATGGGCTGCAGAAAGTCATGGCAGGGAGAGAGGAAAAGCGGCAAACCATGTCTGTGGGGCATCGGGTGGGGAAGGCATGTCACGCCGGGGAGCACGTGGGATGTGCTACATGCCAGGGCTGTACGCTCCCACGGGCACACCATCCATAGAAACCCTTCCAGTCTAGGAGAGGGTTCCAAAAAAAAAACCCCAAAACTCATAGTATTTCATCCTCCATGTTCCTTGAGAAGTTTCTGGACCTGAAGGATGTTGAGATTGCAGAGATCGCTGAGAAACCTGCATGTTTACCCCAAATCTGCTGCTTGCAGAGGGCTCAGAGAGCCACTTGGGTGCTGTGCTCGCTCCCACCACGCTGCCGGCCACTGTCGTGGCATGCCATTAAGTACTTCTCAGCTCTGTTAAACTGTCCAGACCAATCTCATGAGCTCATGGAGAGTAAATGACTTCTTTGTGACAATGTAATGCAATTAGTGCTAATTGTAGACTGTGTAATGTCTGCAACACATCTCTGTAATTACAGTAAAACTTGCTGGAGATGAGAATAGCGCTGTATTATCAAAACTCAGCTTAGTGAAACATGGCTTTGGCTGTAGGTTATGGAGTTGCATGGGGAAAAAGGAAGGAAAAAAGTGATGAATGACGTAATTATGTTGTGTTATTTTAAAGAAGAGGATTTGAGGAGTTAGCTTTTAAGAGAACGCTTGAAGGTTAACGAGCGTTGCAAGCCAGCTCTCACCCTCTAAAGACGATTCAATACGATTTCGACCTCTCCCAGCATAAGACGCAGATGTACTGAGGATGAATGCTTGTTTACATCCAAAAATATGCCGAGTCATTTACAGTTTAGTGCGGGCTGAGGCTCTGGCTGGTGAACCGGAGCTGTGGGATGGAGATGTGCCCAGACTTGCCACCTCCCTGGCCGCTTTGGTACCCAGCACCCGCTCTGCCTCCCCGTCCTCTGGGCAGGGCGCAGGGAGCTCTTCTCCGATCAGTCTGTGGGAAGAAGATAGCCACAGACTGAGATCTACCTGCTCCTCAGCTGGAGCCATCCCCATCCCCAGCCACTTTGCTGCAGTCCCACCAGTTGCAGGACATCAGCTTGTTTTGACTTCGGCCGGATAAGGACTTCCCTGAACCTCTGCATCCCTGTGGATTGAATTGTGCTTTAAACCATCCTCATAAAAAAAAAACCCAAAACAACAAAAAACCCCAATGGTTAATTGTTTTCCCAGGAGAGAGGCTTTAAAACAGGATAATTTGGTGCGGTAAGAGCTTACAGGGCTCCTCTCTGCCTTCTCTAGACACAGGGTCGAGCAGGGCTCTGGGTCCACGCCTGCCTTTCTGCTCCCCTCCGAGCAGGGCTGTGCATCATCCCGTGTTTGAGTTGTGCAGGTCTGTTGTTACTCCGGGCTCAGTCAGTTCTTTGGCCAAGTCTGCGGGGTCCTGTTTGTGCTTTGCTCATTGTAACAGTAATGGGCCTCTTAGAAGACTTCGTAGGAAACTTAAGCACTTCTGGAATATTTTGCTTACAATTTGAGATGAGCCGGGGCTGGAGTTGGTTGGCAGGCTGCTTTCTTTAGAAACAGAGACACCGTTTCTTTTTCTCTTTGCTTCCTGAACACTTCTTCTGGTGTTTGTTATCATTTTTTCTCCCTCTGTTGAAGGCTGTATTAAAGACTTAGCTCCACTGAAGCCTTCATAAACAACCCTTAAGGATGTCTTGCTCCCTCCTGGTTTTGCATGCTGAATTTCAGAGATGAAATATGCTGCAAGAAGCCTTGCTGTATTCATAAGTACCTGGGAGAGAAAGGGATGCCGCAGTCCCCTACTCCATCTCCGCTCCATCTAAAACTGGATGGTTTCTGAAAAGCTCTTTAGCTCAGAAACTGGGATAAGGGCGATGCTGCCAGACCGGTCTCTGCGGGGAGCAGGGATCCTGTGGCTGCAGCAGCCAGAGCAAGGCTCCTGCTGGGTGCGTTGGGTGAAGCTTCCAGTACGTGGCCTTCACCTTGCAGCGCCGGTTCGCTTCACAAGCAGGCAGGGCTCTTCTGAAGGGCACTTTAGCTGTTCAAGGCTGATCAAGGGGCTGTTCCAACTCCCCAGTTCAGACATGGGGAAGAAAGCACTGGCGTGGGGCTGCCCATGGGGGTCCAGCCGCAGCCTCCTGCTGCGACTGCAGGCAAAGACTTTTGTTTCCCCATGTGTTAGTCCCTTCATCCCTTAAAAAAATATAAAATAATAGAGAGGCAGGGATGAATGTTGCTTTTTATTCCCCTCTGCCTGCCTGTATTGATCCCTCTCGCACCGAGGAGCAGCACCTTGGAGACGTGGATGCGCGGTGCCCTCTGCGCTGCCTGGGCACCATTAGCGCTATGGGGTAATTGCCCGTGTAAGTGGCCGATTTGCACACGCAATTACCCAATGTGCAATCACAGCCGCAGCCCTTTTGAGCTGCAGTGAAAGCTGCACCAAACCCTCTCCCAGGAACCTGCCCCTCTCCGGTGCTTTCCGGGGTGGGTGCGAGTGTCCTGGAAGCTGGGAGCCTCCTCCCGGGGCCCCACTGCGTCCTGGCTCATCCCAAATTAGGTGCTCTGAGCAGAAGTGGCAGAACCACATCAAGCTGATACTCGTGATTACAAACCTCCAGGGGTTCAAAATCTGGGGTCGAGCTTTGCAATTTGATGCTTTCAGTGACTTTTGGGAGGATGAAGAGCAGCCGAGACCCAGGGCCGGTGAAGCCCCCAGCTGTGGATGCTCTCTGCTCCGTGCCGCCTTACCACAGCCTTTGCAGCCTTCGAAGCAGAGCATCCCGAGCAAGCCGCGTCCCTGACTCACAGAAACCTGCTGGGTAAAGGAAACCCCTCAGCAGCTTCCCTTGCAGCCGAGCTGACTCAAACTCACCTGTAAAAAGCCTTGTTTTTTGAAGTTTTAGGACTTTTTTAAAGAGAAATCTTTAGTTTCTTTCAGTTCTTCAGCTGAACTTGCTGGTGCTTCAAGAGCCTCATTAGCCAAGTGTCCTGGCTGGGACATACGGTGCGGCCGGATCCAGCAGGCTGCAGGGTTCACGTTCCCTCCAGTGCTATTCTTTTTATTCTGTTCAGCTTGATTAAAATGAGTCTTTTTAAAATTAAGCAACACCCACGAATGCGGTGAGACTTGCGAGGCTTAAAAAGCAGCTCCTGAGCAAAAGCGGAGCACAGCAAAGCCAGCGAGGGCCGGGAGGAAATTTCATTCCAGCTTTCTGAAGATACAATGCTGCCTAAATAATTTCCCCTTGTCTTTTCCAAAACCGATGGTTTAATATCATCCACTGATTACTGTGCTTTGTAGATAAAGGGTGCCTATATGCCCAGTTTTGGAACGCTGAATAAATCTGAGCCTATCTCTTGCTGGCAGCGAGTGGCAGCTCTGTGCTTCTGCGGGCAGAACGGGGATGCTGCCCTGCCTGCAGGCATTGCTGCTTTGCTACAGGTTCCTTGTGTGACCTTGGTCACATCCCCCGGCTGTACAGCATCCCCAGCACCCAGCTGTGAAAGGGAGAGTTCAAGTTTTCCTCAGAAAGTGCCCTCAGCACAAACTGCGTGACTCTGATGGGTTTTCATACCGTCTTCTTCCCGAGCAGGAGTGATCCCGGGCATGGGAGCAGAGCCAGGGCTGAGACCAGGGTGGGTCAGAGATGCGACGCTGGGTAGGTGTGGGAAGGACTTTGCCGGCATTTCTGTGCTCTGTTAGAGGCTCGCTGGGTGAGAAGAGCCCCTTCACCCCTCCTGTGGTGCCCCTGAGCATCACTTCTGTGAGCCCTTCGCCGCAGGCGGGGGTGCTGCCTGACACTGCGCTTATGAGATCCTTCCCAATGCTTTGGGGTTTACGTGAAAGAAACCCCAGTGTGCTCCGAGTCTCACTATCTCCAGGCAGAACAGGAATGAATTTCAGCTGCCCAGTCCATCCTGAGCCACTCCTTGTGTCTGTCTGCTGAGTCCCGGGAGTTTTCCTTCTCGGAGGAGTGTTTGCTAAAGGTTTGCATCAGCTCTCTCTCTGCATCCCACCACCAGCCCGTTGTACGTCTGCCTTTGCAGATGGTCTGCTTTTATTCTTAGAAAGTCCTAAATATTTCCGCTTTCCTTCTGAATAACTCCAGTGATTGGGCATTGCTGATCACTCTGGTGAGTCTCAGCGTTTGCTATGAATCCATCCTATTTAATGCTGAGTATTTTTCTAAGCTTTTAACCTGGCTGGGTCTGTGGCAGAGGCACTGACAGGCATCGCGCTTTCCCGTTTGAACAGAAATGACATTTGAGTTGAAGCTTCATTGGGAGCTTTTTATGCTGCAGATTTTCAATGCATAAATGTTATATATGCTGGTAAATGCACCTGTCACCTCGCCAGTTGGTGACATCCTGACATTCGCTCTCCCTGGGTATCTTCCCTTGCCAGGGATGTGGATTGATTCCTCCTGTGCATCCCCTTGCCTTGCGAAGTGACCTTTGAGCTGGGAAGTGGTGGGATTCTCATTGGACTTGCTCTTTAGGGACTGATTTTTACCCACTTTTTTTTCCCCCAGTACTGGGTTCTCTCAAAGCTCTTGAGCTGTTAGTTGTCAGAGCAACATGTGGATCTTCTAGTCTAGGTCTGGGGCTGAGCTTGCAGTGCTGTAACACCGGTGCTGGTAGCAGTGTCCGGCAGCAGAGGTAGGAGAGCACCTACCTGCTCTTGGTCTTGGTGTTAAAGTGTTTGCTCAGGCTAGTGGGTTGCTGGTTTATTTTTGTTGTTTTTTTTTTAATGTGGTATTATAATTGTTCTTTAATATATTAAATCAAAATGCATTTTACAACATGCCCTTTGCAGATTACAAGCACACGCAGCTCTGGAAGTGAGTCTAGAGCTGTCATTAATCCAAAAATGATTTGTCTTGGTGCAAATAACCATATGCTGCTCTGAATTTTGCTGGTAGCCTCTGTTTTACTAATGGATGAAAGAAAAGCTGTATGTTTGACATGGGCTTTTTACCTGAATCTTGCAAACCATACAAAAATCTTGTTTTCAAACAGCAAGTGAAACTTGAGAATCAAGTCCAGGGAAATTGTTGCCCCTCTCCTTACTGCAGCTAAAGCTCACCCAATGCGGTGAGTCCCGCACACCAAGGAAAGGGCTGGTTTTGTCACTGGAGCCAGGTGGGCTTTTGTGGACACGCTGCCTTCCTCTCTGGTCAGAGGATGAGAACAAACTCCGCGTGTCTGTGCAACGTTTGTATTCTGGGACTGTCCCACAGCTGTGGATGTCAGCTAAATATGGAGGAATATGTGGAGGTTATTTTGATCTTAGGTATGGTTTGATCGTCATCATCCTCATTGAAGTTTATCAAGAGAAATGGGATAAAGTGTCACTGCATCAAGTGTGGAGTCATGTATTTGGGGGCTAGAAAGAGAAAGTCTTCTCCACCCCAGGTGCTCCTCACCTGCCGATGGCCGGGAGGGAGGAGAGTGGGTTTGGCCGGTCACAGCAAGAGCAGAAACCTCCAGCGTGCTGCAGCCGTGGCAAAGCTAACTCGGCACTGATGGATCCTGCAGGATTTCCAGCAGGGAGGGAGGGGGCAGCACTGATGCCTTTGTGCAAAGGAGCCGGCAAAGCCTCCTCCAGAAGTTTGGTGTCTAATCAGGTACGATTAATTCAGGCCAGGGCAGGTGCTGAGAAAGGTTGCGATCGGGAAGCAGAGAGCCTGTCTGCGAGATGGGGCTGGAAGAGCTTGGTTTGTTTGGCTTTGCAAAATCAAGGCTGAGAGGAGATGTGATTTGTCCTCTGTAAATACATCAGGTGAGTAAACACCAGGGACAAAGAGCTATAGAAGCTACTTAAAAGACAGCGCTGGCATAAGAACAAATGAATATGAGCTTGTCCTGAATAAATTCAGGCTGGAAGTTAGGCTTCCAATCACCCAACTAGTTTAAGATGGAACTTGATAATTTTCGGAAGAGATTAATATCCTGTGGTTGCCTGTGGCAGCGGGAGCCTGGCTGTGCAGGGAGCCTCGTGGTCCTCTTCCTTGCCTTTGCCTGGCTCTGCCTCTTCAAGAATGCTTTTGGGCAGAGATCTTGTGTTTTCCCATGGCTGGAGAGCAAAGTCCTGGTGGTGATGTGACTGATGGCTCTGCTGTACTTGAGCAAAGGTGCCTGAGCAGAGCAAGATGGTGCTGGGGGACCCCAGGGACTTGCAGCAGTCCAAGTGCATCCTCAGACTAAGTCATGTCAAGGTGGCACCTCAGTGTCCTGAGCTGTGAAATGACCCCATCAGGCACAGTGTAGGAGCACTTGGAGTTTCCTTGGTCCACGTTTGCCCCATTTGTTATTCACAAATGTCATCAGTTTTGATTTGGGCGCTTGCTCATCTACCTGAGTCCCACCTGCCAAGGATCTCGGCTGGGTAGCGCTAGAATAGCTCAGCGTCCTGCGCTGCTTGCCTCCTGCGCCCTGTGGAAAGGGTCTGCACTAGGGGATGCTCCTCTGCTTTGTTGTGGTGGTGCTCTGCACAGCGAATCCAGTTTCATTACAGAGTGTCTGTACAATTGTTGTTAAAAACAGGGCTGTGTCTGGAAATTGCCCTCCTGGAGTGGACTTTCAGAAGCTTCTGCCCTGGACCTGTGCAAAAACAGTAACCAAAGCAGATGAGAGAGAGCAAAGATCTGTGGCTGTGTGAGCTGGTGTATCATGTTCTTGCTCATTGACTTTATTCTAATACGCAAATAACCCTTAATTAATTCCTCTGGCAAACTTTCCTGATGGGAGAGATGCAGTAACAAGTCCCTCTAAGCAGTTGGCATATAATGTTTGATTTGTAATGTTTGATAATCTAACATTTCTCCAGAAGATCCTTGATGCTCCTCCGCATTCGTGTCTTTCGCAGGATGCTGGAGTACTCCCTGGACCTGCAGAACGTCAGCTTCTCAGCGGTCCGCACCGTCCGTGTCCTGCGGCCGCTCAGGGCCATTAACAGGGTCCCCAGTAAGTCAGCTCCTTATTCCTCCCAGTTGATGCAAGTTCTTTATATCTGTGCCCCAAAGATGGAAGAGCAAACGCAGATGCTTCCCATCTTACATTGCAGCTCAAACATTCACCCAGGCCCTGGTAGTGCGAGGTCCTACCACCACTTTCTGGTCTCCAGTGCCTGGCTCTCTCCTACTTTAAATAATATTCCTTTTGACACCTGTGGCATCAGAGATGAGCCACCAGTCAATAAGATATCCAGGACTGTCTTCAGACGCCTGCCTTTCTCATCTGAAGAGGCTCTTAGGAGTTTGCTAAGGTGAAGGGATGCAGGTGATAGGGATTGACTGAGCCAACAGCCTTTGCCAGGCAGCATGGGCAGAGGGGTCTGAGCCACACTGCTCCCACCCTCCCTGCACTACTCCATCCTTTCCTGGAGAAACTGGGGTGAGGAAGTGTTGTCGTGCCTGGAGACAGCCCCCTGGTAGGCGCTGAGGAGCCTCCTCTTGGAGCATCTCTTGCTCTGCTCCCCAGAGCTGGTCCATACAGCCAAAAACCCCAACACCTCCAAAGCAAGCCAGGGTGGGATGGAAAGTGGCTATTTAGTGCTGGTTTATCAGGTCATGCATGAAGATCTCAGACCCCCCTTGAACAGCAACGGATGGCATTGCCTGCTCCTGCCCAGCAGCAGGCAACAGCAACGTGCTCGGAGAGGCATTGGCCATCGCAAACCCGACCAAACTGCCCAGGGAGCCGCTCCTGCTGTGCCGTGCTGGGCAAAGCCCAGGGCACTGTGAGAGGCGCTGAGCTCGGTCCCTCTCGGACGCTGTTCGGTTCAGGTGTGATAAGTGTAAGTACAACTCCATTAAAAACGTCATTTTCCTGGTCCTATAGTCCTGAGTATGGAATCCAGCATTGTTTTAGCCAAATTAAATCCAAGTCTGAACACCCCTATCTGAACTAGCCCAATGCCGTGACAAGAACTAATCAGCTTCAGTTCTGTCTGCCGATACTGGAGGTGCCTGGGCTCTATTTATTTTTCTAGTCCTGACTCTTGAACTTAATCTGGCTTTGCTGCTGCTGCTGTTTTAATCATTATGGTAGCTTCAGAATGTTGTTTGCAATGTTTTTTTTTATCCCCACCACCGAACTGATGGATGGATGAATTTATCTGCCACCATCTAACTGGGGATGTAATTCACTTAATGTATTTTGAAATCCTGGGTAATTTATCTTGGCTTCTCTGCAACATAGTTACAATGGGATAGAAATGTAAGGTGGGAAAAGAAAAAAGAGAGTTTGTATGATGATAAATGCGGTAACCACAGAAAGTCATTTCAGTTAATTAGGAGTTGAAGCAAGGTGGTTGTTCCCCAGTAGAGGAGTAGAAGAAAAACTCTGATAGAGGAGGTGACAGCATCAGGAAGAGAGAAAAAAGTCTTCCTGAAGTATCAAAGCAAAGGGTGCAACAGTAAAGCTTTCTTTAAATAAAAATCAATATAAGCGAGTGAGAGAATGCAGAAGACGGGGAAAAAAGGAGAGCGAGAGATGAGCAGAATATTACAGAGACGTCAGATGAAATCAATTTTTTTGTGTGTAAATGTCAAGTTGAAGTCACCATCAATTTGTCTTTGTTACAGAACTGGCTGTTCTTGAACTTGTGAGAATTAACTGCCAGAGAGTTCTGTATTTTAAGGAAGAGAGGGGATTTAGGGTAGATGAGGGGAATTAGGGAGAGAAGGGAATTTTAATATATACTGAGTGGGGAAAGAAATACAACTGAGCAAGGGAGAACATCAGAGTTTGGTCTCAGGGAAGAAAGGAGACATATAATAGCTAGAAAACTTTAGGAGGAGAAGAGGACTTGAGATGGGGAGTGAAGGGAGAGGAGCAGAAAAGGTAGGTCGTGTGCCCAGGAGCAGGGCACAGATGAAGGGGGTATCCCAGGGGCTTTTTGGGGAAACCAGAGGGGACTGGGGAGCTGCGGGTGTTTGCGAGCCTGTGTGGGTGACAGGGACAGTGGTTGGGAAAGCAGCAGCTGTCAATGGAAGGAAAAGTATGGATGGAAAGGAAAAGGTCAGGAGGACATAGCTGGAATAAGAAAATTCAGCATGGAGTTTTCCTCTTCCCTGACCACTTCTTCTTCGCCTCAGGTATGCGCATCCTGGTGACACTTCTTTTGGACACGCTGCCCATGCTGGGGAATGTCCTTCTCCTCTGCTTCTTCGTTTTCTTCATCTTTGGCATCGTGGGAGTCCAGCTGTGGGCAGGTTTGCTCAGGAACCGCTGCTTCCTCCCCGAGAACTTCAGCATGTGAGTTTGCGTGGGCAGCAGAAGTGTCTCTCCAGCTCGGGCGAGTCTATCTCTCCAGGAGACAGGGATATCCTCCATTAAAAAGCCCTGGTCTTCTGTAAATGCTCCCTGCTCCTAAATGCAACCACAGCTCGTGGCCAGGCATGCACAGCCAGAACAGAGTGAGCTGTGACAATTTGCCATTCAAGTCCTGCAGGCTGTCCTTAACCCTCAGCCGGCACTTGGGAACCTCTCTGATTGATAAGAGCCTCCGAAAAAACCTGAGAATAAGAGTTCAGGCTTCCTAAATTCAGCATATCATTAACATGTGACCTTCTCTGTTTTTGTGGAGATGTTCAGGTCTGAATCCCATTCAGCAGCAGTTTATCGGTATGGCATTTGTAGTCCCACCTAAACCCCAGGGGAGGCTGATGGAGCTACCATACACTTCAGGATGCTAGATCCTTTTCAGTCTCAGAGCAAGAGATAGTCCCTGTCCCAACGTGTTATTTTTCACAGATCCCTGGATTTTAAGGCCAAGAGGACTGTTATGATCAAATGGGGTTTTGTAGCACCCAGTTTCCTGGCCAGCCAGCTTGCCAGATGTAGGAATGTTTGAACAGTGGTTGAAATATCCCTCTGTTCTGGTAGCTGTCAGCCTCTTTCAGACCAGGATTTCCATACCTATTCTCCTACCTACCTGCTTTTTTCCATGACCTCCCTCCCTTTGAATGCTAGGAGAAGGGCAGGTGACTGCAAGCCCTTGATGGCTGCTCTGCTGAGCTCTGGCACCCCTGTCAACTTTCAGTGGATCGCTTTCAAATGTTGACTCCCCAGAGTTGATCTGGCTAGATTTACACCTGGATGGAGAAGTCCTGCAAGTCCAGAGCCTCTCTCTTGCACACAGCAGGACCGTGATGATGCTGCTGTGGCTAGGCTGGCTCTCGGGTCTGGAGCTGGCATGATGCACCTTTTATCCTCGCCCACACATCCCCTAATCAACTGCCACCCCTCTTGTAGGTCGTGCCCTCAAAGGGCAGTTGGGAGAGTCATTACCAGGGCACTGTTAAGTAAATGGCAGCAGAGCAGAGGGCCTGCTTCACCACTGAGCCACAGGCTTGGGTGCTGTTTAATTGAGCCAGAATTCCAGGGGTTTAGATAAGCTTTGAAGGGTATTAAAGGCAATTCTGCAGGAATTAACTGGGCTGAACTAGGCTTAAAAATATCTTTGCAAGCTTTAGTGGGAGTCCTGGCAGCATTAAGGAGATAGCTGTGTGCAGAGCAAGAAGCCAGTTTCTGGCTGGCCATGGGTTGTTTCATCTCCCTGAAGAGGGTTTTTGCTGGTTTGCTGTGGTAAGGCCACCCTCAGAGAGAATTTAGAGCTTATCTATGGGCTGAACAGGCACTGTGAAATGCATTTGAAGGCCCTGTCTCTGGTTTTTTGGAAGCTTGGGAGGTCCTTGTACATAGAATCTACCCAAGCCATTCTCAGCATCTCCAAGAGGAGATTCAGGAGCTTAAACTGACTGATTTCTATCTTACTGCAGCAAAGACATTTCAGAGAAGCCCTGCTGGGCTGAATCCTGCTCTTAGTCCCCCAAAGTCAAAGCCAGAGCACTTCCAGATAGAGTGACTCTTAGTAATGTCATCAGAGGGGTTGCTGAGTGGCCGAGTGCACTGCCTCAGTTTCCCAAAACCCAGTTAGAGACATCATCTCACATCATCATCTTTCTGGGGCTGCAGAAAGTCCAAGGGGATCCCTTTTAAAAAAAAGCTTTAAGATCCAGAATAACAGATGTCAGACTTTGCTGTTAGAGTTGTTACCTTGCCAGATTGCCTGCAATCGGTGTGCAAACCCAAGCCCTGTCTGGACTCTTTCAGCCCCTACACAGTGGATTTGGAGCGATACTACCAGACAGAGAACGAAGACGAGAACCCCTTCATCTGCTCCCAGCCCCGGGAGAACGGGATGCGCTACTGCCGGAGTATCCCAACGCGGAGGGAAGAGGGTCTCGAGTGCACCCTGGATTATTATTCCTACAATGACACCACCAACACGTCCTGTGTCAACTGGAACCAGTATTACACCAACTGCTCTGCCGGAGAGCACAACCCTTTCAAGGGAGCCATCAACTTCGATAACATTGGCTATGCCTGGATCGCAATATTTCAGGTGAGCCCTGTGTGCAAACTGTCACAAGGTGGGGAACAGCCTGTTGTGCCCCCCAACATGTTCCCAGGGGCTGCGTAATCACACTCCTGGGGACTATTTTGCACCAGTAAGCACCTATATAGTAGTGCATGGGTCATTAAAATGTCAGGGATACAATTTGATGCCTTATTTGAAGATGCTTCCATCTCACATACGTGGACAAAACCCCAGTCTCCAAACCCTGGGTGTCCAAGAAGACCATCCTGATGTGGAGCACAGCCTAGAGCATGCTGCAAAATGCAGTAGTGGGCCTTAGGTCCAGCTGGAAAAGAAGGGCTGGATTCAGCCTGGGCAGCTGACAACGTGGCTGTTGGCGTTGGTGGGAGCAGGATTTGGTTCCTCAGTGTTTTGTACTGCACCAAGACCAGCTATGGGGTGTCAGAAACGACCTAGCCAGGAGAAACATTACTTGTGCACTTGGTGTAACTGAGCCTTGGGGCTCAAAATGAACTGAGGGTTCATTTTCCCTTCCTTTCTTCACCAGGTCATCACACTGGAAGGCTGGGTGGATATCATGTACTTTGTCATGGATGCACATTCCTTCTACAACTTCATCTACTTCATCCTCCTGATCATTGTGAGTGGCCTTAGGGGAACATGGGGGTCTTCCTGGCATTTGGGGAGGGCAGAGTGGAGTGACCCAGAGGAACAGGGTAGATAATACAGTGAATATAAAAGCTGGTGCCACGTAGGAGGGGTAGAAACCAGCCTGCTGGAAGACATGCAGCTTCAATACAGCATTGCATTGCAGCTGCATTTTGCTGCAAACATGAAGGAAGGAAAGATGTGCTTAAGCTATGGTAGATACACCTCTGCTGCTGCTGTTTCTACTACTTCTCTCCTCTCCAAGGTCTTCTCCCTTAGTTGCCGCCTTGAATTTGAGTTTAAAAGTAGGCAAATTTCCCCTGGACAGGTTTTGAGCTCTGGAAGGGGAGGAGGCTGCCCAGAAATTCCCCCATATTGAAGAACCCAGCTGGCTAGGTCCTTGGTGCAGAGGGGACGTTTCAGGAAAACAGTCCAAAACTTCAGGGAGCACATTAAGAAAGGAGGGAAGAGATTACTGCCCACAGCCCACCCACGCTTCACAGCATCATCCGAGACCACCCACAAAGGACCCAACAAAGAGTTTCTGTGGGGTGGGCTCCATGATGGGCTTCATCTATGCAAGCAGAATTGTCTACTGTGACTGGCTGAGCTTGTTGTCTAGACTCCCTTTATCGTCAAGGGAGAAAAATAGGTGCTTTAAGGGGGTGATTCATCTCCCGTGAAGGTAGACATCCAAAATAAATTAGATGCATTGCAGACTTGATGTGCCTATTTCTCTCTTGACTCTAAAGGATCATTAGGTGCCTCACTCAGATGTAGCTGAGATAAGTGAGATGAGTCCCTTTCTTGCTGTCTAATTGGACTAAGTCCAGCAAAATAGCTGCACGTCTTCCATTAGGCCATTGTGGGGATTTCTGCTCCTCCTCAAACCAGGACTCAAACCCTGATGAGAAGGTAGGAGGTCGTTTAGTCCATGATGCTTTTTCTGGTTCATCTATTAACTTACCCAAAAAAGAAACAATCACTTGCTCTCAGCATCCCCAAAACAACGGAGAGGAAGGGCAAGCAGTACTTTTCCAGATGCCGTGCGAATAACGTTAGCGGCGTGTGATAGCCCATTAGCACATCAGTAATTCTCTGTGATCCAGGCTGGGCTCTGCAGAAGGCAGAACCTCATGAAACCCTGGTTGGAAATAAAATCTCCAAGCTGTGGGTACAGGCTGCTGATGCCCTTGCGTAATAGTCACCCGCAAATCCCGTTAGCAGGGGAAAGGGATCTGCTTGCAAGCTGCCCACACACTGCCAGAAAAAACACTCCTATCAGGAAGGCTCAGTGCATTCATCGTAATGCCACTAATTGTGATAATTACAACCGCTGTCTGTGGAGAGAGAAAAACACCATCTTAAAAGAGCAAAAGCTTTTTGTCAAAATAATCTTCTCTTGTCTTTGATCTCTGACGTCCTCTGTGGAGCGCTGGTGTGGGAGTCCCTGGGGCGGGGGCTCAGAGGGTGAGTCAGCCCCACCGTGGTCCCGGCTGGTGGTCCCCACCAGCTGACGCAGGAGATGGGGCTGGCTGGGGTGTGGGGTGAGGCAGGGCTATGGGGTGGGCATGGCCACCCCAAGGTGGCTGACGGCTCCTGTCGCCTTAGGTCGGCTCCTTCTTCATGATCAACCTCTGCCTGGTGGTGATAGCAACGCAGTTCTCCGAGACGAAGCAGCGCGAGAGCCAGCTGATGAAGGAGCAGCGCGTGCGCTACCTGTCCAATGCCAGCACCCTCGCCAGCTTTTCGGAGCCAGGCAGCTGCTATGACGAACTCCTCAAGTACCTGGTTTACATTGCCCGTAAAGGCAGCAAGCAGCTCGTGGAGGTCTACCGGGTGGCGGGCGTGAGGATGGGCTTCCTGACCAGCCCTGCGAGCAAGGCGGGGGCCGACCGGCACACCGGGAAGCACCGAAGCAGGAAGAGGTCCTCTGTGCACCACCTCATCCATCACCATCACCACCACCACCATCACTATCACCTGGGCAATGGGAACCTGCGGGCTCCCCGCGCCAGCCCGGAGATCAGCGACGTGGAGACCAGCTCGCTCCACAATGGGACCAACCGGCTGATGCTCCCCGCCTCAGCACCAAACCCCCACGGGGCCCCCAGCGCCGCTCCCAGCAACACCGAGTCTGTCCACAGCATCTACCACGCTGACTGCCACTTTGAGCCGGTGCGCTGCCGGTCATCCGTCCCGCAGCCGGGCCTCGGCTTGCCAAGCCCAGAGGGGATCCCCAAGAACATCGTGGGCAGCAAGGTGTACCCCACAGTGCACCCCAGTACCTCCCACGAGATGCTGAAAGAGAAAAGCCTGGGGGAGGCAGCGGTTGGTGCCGGGAGCAGCACCTTGACAAGCCTCAACATCCCACCCGGGCCGTACAGCACCATGCACAAGCTGCTGGAGACGCAGAGCACGGGTCAGCCTGGGGCTGGACGTCAGTCTGGGGTTGTCTTACAGAAATATGAGCTACGACCTAATTTTTTTCTCTTTCTGAATCTTTGCAGGGTTCTTTTCAGTCCACGTTACAGAGAAAGGCGATGGCTTTCCAGGTGAGGCCAACATGAATCTTCCAACATACCTAAGGCATCTTATAGCCAAAACCAGAAGAGAGGTTTCAACCTCCCAGACTTCATACGTGCAAAAATCTAAGGGAAAATAAGGTTTTAATGAACCCATCTTCTTTCCCATCCCCATCTCCTCCCAGTCAAATGAATTTATTCTGCAATTACAGGGAACACTCCCCAAATCCCTGCACTCCCCAAATCAGCTAGAACCAGGCTCGGTGACACCAAGCAGAGCTGCGGCCCAGCCTGGCCACTTCCAAACGGCCATGTCCCTTCCCTGCTAAAACACAGGGGCTGGAGATGGCTGCATTGCCCACCGCTTGCTGCAGAGCTTGGAGATGGACACCTTCCAGATATAAGTCCCAGCACATCCCTGAGCACTGCGTAGCTTTGCTCCCCACGGGACCTGAGGCTCGGGGAGAATGAGTGTCTGCTTTGCACGAGTGCTCAGTGGCAATTGCAGATGCTGAGTATTAAAAATCTGCCCGGAGTTATTTGCTTAGGAAGCCTGTAACAGAGTGAGACACTGAATGCAGCTTTCCTGGATCGGGGGTTTCATATCTGCACTGCAAGATGCTCTTTCCCCCTCCACATCCTGAGGGAAGCTCAGGCCAGTGTAGTCCAAACCCTCTCAGCCTCCAAAAAGCATTTCTGGCCAAGCTTTCCCAGGCGGTCAATGCCTTTTCCACCCCTCCACAGCGGTATTGACCTTTCCAGCCAGGAGCTGTGCAGGGAAAAGACCAAGTCCTGCCCCCAGCCCAGAGCTGTCCAGAGACTAAATACACAGAGCTGGGCTCTGAGATGGTTTAGCACCGGGTTTTTATGCGCACTGCTGCGTGCTGCTGTGCATGAGTCAGGAGCGTGCTTTGCAGATAGCCTCTCCCCTGGCAGCCAGCTGCTGGGATTTTTGGGGAATATCCTGCTGGTATTGTCACCCAGGAGCCACCTGGCAGCTGGGAGCTGCTGTTGGGGGCAGCGCCTGGAGGGGGAAGCTGGTGATTTCGGAGCATCAGCAAACAGCGGGAGCAGGAAAGGAGACTGCTGGTGGCGGCGCTCCCGCTAATTACAGCCCCAACCCTGCCAGGGCCAGGGAAGCTGATTGCTTTCTCTGAGCCGTAATGGCCAGAGGTATAACGAGGTGGGCTAGGGGTCCTGGGCTGGCAGCAGTGTCTGTCTGGGCGCAGCGAAGAGGGCTTTGTAACTGGGGAGAAGGTGCTCGGGGAGCCCAGGTTTTGCCTAGGGCTCTTTAACCCAGCAGGAGCCCTTTTCCCCTTAGGAAATGCCTGTTTTGTTGAGGGCAACAGCTTCGTGCTAACGGGGACTGGGGGTTGCTCCCATGGCCGCCCACAGGCC